GTCTCTGATAATCACAAAACTCTTAATTAGTGCAGCGTGAAGTATTTCAGTTTGACAGTGCACTTTCAAACTGAAAACAAAGCACTTCAAAGCCCACATGCTGGCTGAGTTTTTATCCAGCAGATTTGCACACCACGAGCTGTGGGGAGCTCAGCTCAGCCCAGACACAAGCCAGGACTGAGCTGAGCCAGTTTTTGACCTGACATTTAGACTGTTCAAACCTTCTCCTCTGCAAACGCAAGGCAGGCAGGTTTCTATGGAAACTTGGATGCATAGTTGGAGTGGTTTTGGCCAACAGAATTTGCCCATACCATGAAGGGAAAGAAATCTGCCTTTGTTCTAACAGCAAATGAATATTCAGTTCTGGCTGCTGCCCCCTGACTGATGCCCTCTAGACAGGCAACATATTTCACATGCTCTGAAATTTGTTTGTGCTTCTCCTAATAAAACACTGGGTGGAACCCACAGAGGTGAGGAGCAGCCAACCTGCCACACAAATGAAGGCAAATAATTCTGAATTGATGGGTGAATCACCAGAGAGAGAGATCATGAAGAGCTCCCCAGGATGGGCGTGCAGGAGGGGCAGCACACAGCTCAGTGATGCACATCACTGCCTCGTTAAACATTTTGGTGCTCACCATTCATCTCCCTCATGCAAATCAGAGGAATTAATTCATAAAACACCAGCATGGCCACTGCATCACTAATGCAGGGCTGCCACCCTCAGCTGAGGAGCTCAGCAAACATCCCAGCCTGGCTGGAGCTCTGCTGGGGACAGATTAATTAATTATCCTGAATTACACTCACTTTCTCCCAGGGTCTTCTGCAGGAGGTCATGCTTGGCCTGCAGCTTGGTGATCAGGTTCCTGCCCTCCAGGTACTCCTTCATTTTCTGTGGAAAAAACAGCACGGTGAGGGGACAGTTCATCACTCTGAACAAGGCTTGGGGCTGCTGGATTGTGAGCACAAGGCAGAGTGACACTGATTTTATAGAGTGGCATTGAATTTAGTGTGACACTGAATTTAGAGTGACACTGAATTTAGTGTGACACTAAAATTAGTCATAGAACGACACTAAATTTACAGAGTGACACTGAATTTGCAGTTATAGAATGACACTGAATTTACAGAATGACACTGAATTTAGTGTGACAATGAATTTAGAGTGACACTGAATTTACAGTTATTGAATGACACTGAATTTAGTGTGACACTGAATTTAGTGTGACACTAAAATTATTCATAGAATGACACTAAATTTACAGAGTGACACTGAATTTGGAGTGACACTGAATTTACAGTTATTGAATGACACTGAATTTACAGTCACACTGAATTTAGTGTGACACTGAATTTAGAGTGACACTGAATTTACAGTTATAGAATGACACTGAATTTACAGAGTGACACTGAATTTACAGTTATAGAGTGACACCAAATTTAGTTATAGAGTGACACTGAATTTGCAGTGACACTGAATTTAGTATGACACTAAAATTAGTCATAGAATGACACTGAATTTACAGAGTGACACTGAATTTACAGTTAGAGTGACACTGAATTTAGAGTGACACTGAATGTAGTGTAACACTGACTTTAGAGTGACACTGAATTTAGTGTGAGATTGAATTTACAATTATAGAGTGACACTGAATTTACAGTGACACTGAATTTACAGTTATAGAATGACACTAAATTTACAGAGTGACACTGAATTTACAATTAGAGGGACACTAAATTTACAGTTATAGAGTGACACTGGATTTGCAGTTGCAGAGTGACCCTGAATTTACAGAGTGACCCTGAATTTACAGTGACAATAACTCTGAAATTCATGGATAAAACAAACTAAACCTGGCTTTAGTATCTGGGCAAGTCTAAAGCNTCCAGGTACTCCTTCATTTTCTGTGGAAAAAACAGCACGGTGAGGGGACAGTTCATCACTCTGAACAAGGCTTGGGGCTGCTGGATTGTGAGCACGAGGCAGAGTGACACTGAATTTATAGAGTGGCATTGAATTTAGAGTGACACTGAATTTACAGAATGACACTGAATTTATAGAGTGACACTGAATTTATAGAGTGACACTGAATTTAGTGTGACACTAAAATTAGTCATAGAACGATACTAAATTTACAGAGTGACACTGAATTTGGAGTGACACTGAATTTACAGAGTGACACTGAATTTAGTGTGACACTGAATTTACAGTTACAGAGTAACACTGAATTTAGTGTGACACTGAATTTACAATTATAGAGTGACACTGAATTTAGTGTGACACCGAAATTAGTGTAACACTGACTTTAGAGTGACACTGAATTTAGTATGACGGTGAATTTGGTCTGACACTGAATTTAATGTGACACTGAATTTAGAGTGACACTGAATTTAGAGTGACACTGAATTTAGTGTGACACTGAATTTACAGTTAAGAGTGACACCAAATTTACATAGTGACACTGAATTTGCAGAATGACACAATTTACAGTTGGAGTGACACTGAATTTACAGTTATAGAGTGACACCGAATTTAGTTATAGAGTGACACTGAATGTGCAGTAACACTGAATTTAGTGTGACACTAAAATTAGTCATAGAATGACACTGAATTTACAGAGTGACACTGACTTTACAGTCACAGAGTGACACTGGATTTACAGTGACACTGAATTTGCAGTTACAGAGTGACACTGAATTTAGTGTGACACTGAATTTGCAGTTATAGAATGACACTGAATTTAGAGTGACACTGAGTTTACAGTGTGACACTGAATTTGCAGTTAAAGAGTGACACAATTTATAGAGTGACACTGAATTTACAGTTAGAGTGACACTGAATTTAGAGTGACACTGAATTTAGTGTGACACTGAATTTATAGCTATTGAATGACACTGAACTTGCAGACTGACACTGAATTTACAGTTACAGAGTGACACTGAATTTACAGTGACACTGAATTTACAGTTACAGAATGACACTGAATTTAGTGTGACACTGAATTTACAGTTATAGAATGACACTGAATTTACAGAGTGACACTGAATTTACAATTAGAGGGACACTAAATTTACAGTTATAGAGTGACACTGGATTTGCAGTTGCAGAGTGACACTGAATTTACAGAGTGACCCTGAAATTACAGAGTGACCCTGAATTTACAGTGACAATAACTCTGAAATTCATGGATAAAAGCACAAACTAAACCTGGCTTTAGTATCTGGGCAAGTCTAAAGCTCAGGCCACTCCTATTTTGAGCCCAGCCAAGCTTGGATCAGTGATCTCAGAGGCCTTTTCCAACCTGAACAATTCTGAAATTCTGCAAATTCTCCATCTGCAGGGCCATTTCCATTGCTGCACTGTGGGATCAGCTGAATGTTTGGCATCTTTGGAGCCGTCAGAGGAGCTGTCATCCATCCCTGGGCACTGAATGAACAATCTGTCTGAACCAGCTAAAAGGCTGCTACTGTGCTTATTCTCTCACTTAACCTCTCTCACCCCACTTTACTTGTCAAACCCTGCGTGCTGGATGAGCCACAGGACAAAACAAATAAAGATATTATTGAGGTTCAGATTTACCCTGGCAGTGGAATATTGTACAGCCACGCAGGCGCTTTTCCCACTGCTCCCTGATTTTCCACAGCTTTGCAAATGCTGGGTTTTTTTGGTTTTTTTTTTTTGGTTTTTGCTGTTCTTTCATCTCTTATCTTGCAGTTCAGAGCAGTTTTATTTATCTCCACTGAGCTGCAGCATGTGAAATACTCTGCTGTACAGGGGCTGTCCACATCATAAATGGGACGTGCTTCATTCCAAAGCACAAACTCTGCAAATATCACAGAGCACTCTCTGGAATCCTCAGAGATCTTCAAAATTCGGCAGCAGGATGAGCACAGAGAGAGGATTCTTATCCAATAATGAAATATTCTCGTTATAATCAAATCCTCAGCTGGTTTAGGTGGGAAGGGACCTCAAAGCTCATCCAGTTCCAAGGGCAGGGACATTTTTCACCATCCCAGGGTGCTCCAAGCCTTGTCCAGCCTGGCCTTGGACACTTCCAGATGTCCCCAATTCAATCCACCTCCCTTCAGGGCTGATCTGCACAATAAAACTGCAAATCCTTGAGGGAAAAATGGATATTTTAAACAACAGGAGAGCCTGGACCCTGCCTGGCCTTTGCAGGGGCAGCTTCTGTGCAGGAATGAAAGAGTCAAGTAGAATTATGTACATAAATAAATAAAGAATTATATCTACAGAAATATATAATATATAGTAAGAATATCTAAATATATGCAATCTTCATATGATATTTATATATAATATACTACATATAATATAATGCATAATATAATATATAATATATAATATATAATATATAATATATAATATATAATATATAATATATAATATATAATATATAATATATAATATATAATATATAATATAATATATACTATAATATAATATATATTATAGTATATAGTATATAGTATATTTATATAATATTTATAAAAAAATCTATGACTATAATATCCTAATAGAATATATAAAGAAATGTCCACACTGAAGCAGTAGCAGGGTGAGGGAAAACCTTCCAGGAACTAACAAAGCTTCCCCTGAGGGCTCCCCAGCCCTGGTGTGCACTGACACAACAAACAAAAATGGCTTTAATTAACTGCCAAAATCCTGTGTTTTATGTCCCCTCGCTTGACAACATTGAAACAAACATTTCACAAGAATTAAGTCCCTTTGGAAAGTCTCAGCATTTCCTGCTTCCTTTATTGATATTTCAATTTTTTTGTTGTTTTGGA